TTAAAAATACTCTCGATGACTGAGTGTTTGACTTCTCCATTGGTCCCCATAGCTAGCCTCAAAGTTGGGAATCTATGTCAACCTAGAAGGAGAGCCGTCATGGGAATACATTTGAGTTGTTAAAAAAGGCCATACAGTAAGCTCTACAGGCTTAATGCCATCACAGGAGGCTTAGTTTTCAACATCGCCCTTGCCCTTCCACTTTTTCAGAACCCTTCGAACTCGATTCCAATGTCGGTAGAGTCTTTTCTTACGATCAAACATTAGAAATCAGGTAAAAAGTTACTCGATACAAGTTCTTTGTTTAGTCAAAGGGTTAAAGACTGGTGTAGTTCCTTTAATTTTGGAACCGTGTAGAAAATTGATAGTAGTGAATGTAGCTTTTCACGTCTGTTTGTAACCCATTGAGGAAATTCTGCGAATGCGTCAACTTGGATAGTTTCTTTTGATTGTCAGGTGAAGCGAACATAAAATTTGATGGGGAAATTAGAGTCTTATATGGCCAAGTGTGTCATTCATTACTGTCTGTTTGTATTCGGTTTTTTTTATTGAAGGCAAACTGGACGCCATACAAGGGATAGCTTTTGCGCACTTACCTACCTTTACTGGCACAATGTCGATCCCAACCAATAGCCCGAAAATAATGGCCACGCAAGAGTGCGCTCCAACGCTAACCGGATGCGTCCTTTAATGCGCAGTCCCCGTGACTTGACCGTGACAATGCTGGTAGTTTCATTATATTTCCTCTTCTCTAATCTTGATTGAATTTCATTTGCTATGGAAATTGGCCACTGGGTTCCTTGATCATATAACACTGTCCTTCAAAGTTCGTAAAGATCTTTTTGTATGGTTGTTTGCATGTTCTCTTTTGTCCAGATTAGTCTTTTCAATTTTCATCACATTCTTTTTCTTGTTTAGTTGGTGGGGGAAATGGCAAGCCTTTCCGTTTCTTACAACACTTCTGCATGGTGCATTCATGATTTAATGCGCAGGAATATTTTTCAAAGAAACGTAATGCTTTTCCGTCAACTGCGTGGGTGCAGGCGCTCTAAAAANAAAAATGCTTCTTCGGCTTTGCACCCGGGCGCCGTTTCCCTTTATCATTTACTACACGTGATTAAACCTTCATTGCTTCCCACTCGGTCACGACGCTTTTGCCTTCTCGTCCCCTAGTTAGTTGTCACATGCAAAAATGCGTAAATATCATCGGTAATGAGCGATTGTAATTTTCAGCCTTGTTCTCACTAATCGAGTTATTATAGTGCCACGTATGCTAAACAGACTGGATCTGGTGATTGAGCGCAATATTGCCAGTTTGAAGAGACATGCAGCAAAGGTGACTTTTAAAGCGTTATGGAAAATTTGCTATTGTTTGGTGATGACAGTTCGTTGCACCTTTTCTCATTCATGAATGGCAATGTTAGGGGCAGAGGAAATTAACTTCTGAGTCATC